CATTTTGTGTATATTTCCCTGTGCTACACAGAAAGCCATCTTTTAAAACAAATAATTTGGGGAGGGAGATTAAGATGGTGGAGTAAGAGGACACGGAGCTCACCCACAAGCACATCAAAAACACATCTACATGTGGAATAATTATCATGGAAAACTGACTGGAAACTGGCAGAACGACTCCTATACAACCAAGGATTCAAGAAAGATTCCCATACAGCTGGGTAGGATGGGGAAACAAAGGATCAGCTTGGGACCTGTGCCCCTGGGAGAAGAAAAGAGGAAAAGAAAGACTGCACAGGCAGATTTCTGTCCTAGGGAGTGAGGGGGCAAATCACAGACTGGGCCTCCCATCCTGAGGTCCTATGTGGAGGAGATAAGCCCCTTGAGCTACTGGGAGAATCACTGGAGGAGAGAGAAAGGCTGGCAAAGCCTACACTCCACTCACAAAGAGTGTGCAGGCACTGGCTGCCAACAAACAAGGTGGAGAGAGGTGTGCCCTAGTGGCTGCTGCCTTGCAACACTCCCCCATCCAAGCTAGGTGAATACTCCAGACCACTCACTGCATACTACAGCTTGGCACAGGATCTAGGGCAGCTGGATCCTGAGAAAAGTCTCAATCTAGCAGCACAGAGGTGGCCCAGAGGCCTGAGATGTACTCTAGGTGGGACAGAGCCCTCAAAGCAGCCCAGACGTTTAACAGTAACACAGCTGCTTCTGTTCCTCCAACCACAATGTCCCTATCCCCAGTCCCAGCCTAGTGGATGCTCCTGTCCCACCCACTCCTCACCACAACCTTGCACTGGGACAACCACAATGAGGAAAAAGACTTAACTTAGCCTGCTTATGAGGGGAGCTGCAGATTCCCATACAGGCAGCACATCAGACCACTGTAAGCACATGAGCCCCACTTACTTCAGCACTCCCCTTCTTTCAAGCAAAGGCCTCAGTTCAGGGAGAAGGGAGAACACACACTTAAAGGGAAAAGAACCAGCCGGCTCCTGGCCCTCAGGGCTTCTGCTCCAGCGACTTTGGTGTAAACTCCACTCCTGACAGGGTAAAGACAGGCACAGAATCTAGAGGAAGTCCTACCCTACACCCTGCACAGGCTTTAGATACTCCAACACCAACAACACCCACTATCAAGGTGGTAGCTGCCAGCACACCCTGAGGAAAGACATGGCTGGCATCCAAATCAAAATCAGCCCTTGCACCAAAGACATTGGACACAAACAGTCTACACAGGCATCTTGCCACTAAAAATGCCCTTTCAAGACCACAATACATAACTGTTTCTCCTAAATTCATAGAGACAGAGAAAGTTAAATAAAATGAAAAGGTAGAGGAACTACTCCCAATTAAAAGAGAAAGAGAAAATCCTTAAATAATAAATAATGAGACAGAGATCATCAGTCTACCAGACACTTAGTTCAAAAAGTTGGTAGTAAAAAAGCTAACTGAATAAAGAAAAAGTATTAAGAGTAAACACACATCATTTTAAACTAGAACCAGAAACTATAAAGACGACACAACCAAAAATACACAATTCAATTTCTGAGATTAAAAACATTCTAGAAGTAATGAATAGTTGACTAAATGACACAGAAATACTTGTAAATGTCTGTAAGATAGAATAATGGAAATCACCCAACAAGAAGAGCAGACAGAATATAAATGACATGACAAAGGGAAAAAAAATGAAAGCAATGTATGAGACCTATGGGATAATATAAAATGTTCCAACATATGCATAATAGGGGTTCCAGAAGAAGAGAGAGAAAAGGGGATCAAAAATGTATTTGAAGAAATCATGGCTGAAAACTTCCCAAAACTAAAGAAGGAAACAGATATCCAGGTACAGGAAACACAGAAGATCCCAAATAAGATGAACACAAAGATCACACCAAGGCCACACCAAGACATCATAATTAAAATGGCAAAAGTTAAAGAGAGAATTCTAAAGGTAGCTAGAGAAAAGCAAAGAGTCAATTACAAGGGAACCCCCATAAGGCTTACAGCTGACTTCTTTGTAGAAAATTTGCAGGCCAGAAGGAAGTGGCAAAATACTTTCAAAGTCTTGAAAGGGAAAAACCTGCAACCTAGGATACTCTACCCAGCAAGATTACCATTTAGAAGCAGAGAGGAAGAATTTCTCAGACAAGCAAAAACTTGAAAAAAATTCAGCAATTCTGAATCTACTATAAAAGAAATGTTGAAGAGGCTTCTCTAAATGGAAAAGAAAGAATCTATAGGAAAGAAAAATCCCAATAGGAAAGGCAAATACGTAGTAAGGACTGAAGATCACTTAAATAAGCCAGTACGAAGATTAAAAAAAAATTGTAAAAGCAATTATAACTACAATAAACACTAAAGGGATATGCATAAAGGCAAAATATGACATCAAAAACATAAAATGTGGGGAAGGGAGTAAAAATGTAGATTTTTAGAATGTGTTTGAACTTAACTGATTATCACTTTAAAGCAACTAGGTTAATTATAGGTCAACATATATGAACACATGATAACCCACAATAGGTACACACACACACACACACACACAAACACAAACACAAAAGAAAAAAAGAAAAAGAAAGGAACTCAAGTATACTACAAAAGAAAATCATTAAACCACAATGGAAAACTCAAAAAGAAATTAACAAAGAAGAACTACAAAAACAACTAGAAGAAAAGGAATAAAATGGCAATAAGTACATACCTATCATGAATTACCTTAAATATCAATGGACTAAATGATCCAGTCAAAAGACACAGAGTGGTTATCCGAATAAAAAACCAGACTCTTCAATATACTGCCTACAAGAGACTCACTTCAGGGCAAAATACAAACAGATTCAAAGTGAGAGGATGGAAAAAGGTGTGAAAATAACAAGAAAGCAGGGGCAGCAATACTCACTCATATCAGACAAAATAAACTTTAAAACAAAGACTATTACAAAAGACAAAGAAAGGCACTATATATATAAAGGGATCAACACAAGAGGAGGATATGACACTTATTAGCATATATACACCCAATGCAAGAGCACCTAAATACATAAAGCAAATCCTAACAAAGGGAGAAATTGACAATAATACGATATTACATGGAGAATTCAACATCCCACTGACATCAATTGACCAATCATCCAGACAGAAAATCAATAAGGCAGCAGAGGTCCTAAATGACACAATAGACCAACTGAACTTAATTGATATCGACAGGACACTACATCCAAAAAAGCAGAATATATATTCTTTTCAAGTGTGCATGGTGCATTCTCTAGGACAGATCACATAGTAGGTCACAAAACAAACCTCAACAAATCTAAGAGGAAAACAAGTTATATCAAGCATCTTTTCCAACCACAACAGTATGAAA